TAGAATAAAGACCTGTTATTCTATATAACAGCTGTTATGAATGCTGATGGGTATACGAAATTAAGACCCACTGAATACAACTTGTTACTTGTTATACGCTATACCGTTTATGCGGACGTATTTAAAATCTGCCTACATGATTTTTGGTCTTTTATCATGAAATTGAACCAATAGTCGATCCTGCCTAACCATAATGTTTTTATTTATTTTTTTTATAACAGTCTTCACTAACATGAAGGCATTTCTATAGGGATCGAAAATGTGGTCCGACCCAAACCATTTTCAATATCGTTCATCCGTGGGCCAAGGCATGTCAGTGTAAAAGATTTCATTAATATAAATCGAAAATTGCGATTTGTAGGGTCAAACCAAAAACACATAAACAGAAATCAAATGGACAGATAAGAAAACAAGCTTAGACTGATTCAGAAAATGATTCTGATGAAAATAATAAAAAGCCAGTCTTAAGTCCTTCTTTGAGGTCGTAAACCCTGTCACGGTACTAGCCCCCTTGTTGCCGGTAGAGCGTATTTCTTAACGGGGGTTTGGCTCTCTGAGCCTCATGACAAAGAATACAAAAAAAGGAATAGTCTCGTCAGTAGTCTATCGTACGTCTCTCTACCGTGAGTCCGTCTGTAACTGTCTGACGTCCTCCCTACGGTGCCATCACATGCACACTCCCTCACCTGACCTCAGCCACAGCGGTGGCAGGCTAAACTCAGCCACACATCGGGGCTCCTCCGTAAATAGGAGGCAAGAAAAAGGAAAAAAAAGGAAATAAATGAATGAAAATACCTGACCGTGAATCTGGTCGTTGCTAGAGTCTGTGGTGGTGGCTGCTTAGATCATCTGGTTCCTTCTTCTTACGCTCTCGCTCTCTTATTCACCCCTCTTCCTCTTTACCTTGTTGGGTTGCCTTTTGGCGTAATTTAAAGCGTTTGTTCAATGAATTCGTCGGTATTGTAAACCACTTCTTGTAAATTAACTCATACATTAATGTTGATGTTTCTTTGCAATAATTCTCTTTCTTTTTAAATATTTGTACATTAACAATTTTTCTTTGTAAACCACATTTTGTAACTTAACTCATACATTAATGTGGATGTTTCTTTGCAATAATTCTCTTTCTTTTTAAATATTTGTACATTACCAATTTTCTCCTTAATGCATATTATTTCGCAGAAGCTACTGTAATAAGAAGCTCACGTATATTTTATACAAAATTTCCATAATTTTATGTTGTTTACATAGATATGCCTTAGGCTGGTTTATTTTATTTCTTTCTTTTCTATTTTGGTACGCATACCGTCAATGATATTTAAAAAAAAAACACGAATGCTATGCGCTTTGCTTGGTGCATTCTGCCAACACACTCAACGCTTCACTTCGTTATTCTTGAAGGCAGTTGTATCGTTTAAGAATTAATAAAACACAATACTCTGGCTTAGTACTGATTTCTCTTATTTGTTTGCTTCATGACGTTTCTTGACTTTTGAGTTTTAACTATCAACGCCCTATTGCAATTGAACAAAACCTGCACAGATGCACTTAAATTTGACCGCGACACAAAGAGAAGTGGTAAATTTATCTACTTATACTTTAGTTTCTCTTTCACGATTTGCCTTAGTTAAGAGACATTTTTCAATCACTCTTTCTTTATTCCTCTTTATTTCTTTCTTCTTCGATCTATGGGCAAGATGCTATCGTAGAAATTTTCTTTTATATTCTTTTTTTTTCTTTGTTTTTTTTCTTCTTACTGCTTTAACTGCGGGCCATATAATAACATTTGTGCTGCTTGTATATATACACATACTGACATCGACATTAAAGTTGCATGCTAAATAATTGTACTAAAGCTTAGTATATTTTGTGTTTGAATTTTACAAATTATTGAGTTATCTAGGTAAATTCGGTAAATTCAATTAATTTGGATTGTGTTCTTAGTATTTCTTATAACTAACTTATGTATTATACGTACGCGATGAAGACTTGATTTTTTATTCCTTTATACATTTATTTTATTTTTCGGAGGCCAAATAGTCTAGAACTAATTTTAAAGTAAAAATTTTCATTTTCACTCAATTAGTTTGTTCGTTTTGTACCTATGTTAAGTTAATTATCGCATTAACCAAATCTTATATTTATTTATATATATGTATTATTTGTTTAAATTGAGCTCTTAAAAATTCTTTCTTCCTGTAATGACGGGGCCAATTTTACGTGAAAAAGGTTTTGAAATTAAAGCTCTTTGGGGACGAACCGTAAAAGAAGCGGAAGAGTTTTCATCATCCCAAAATATCGCTTTTTTTACCAACAAAATTGATGATGTTTTATTACGAAAAGACGTGAATTTAGTGTTTGTTATTATTTGTTATTATTATGACCTTTTTAATATTGGCTTGTGCTGTGCCACAACCGAAGATTTTTTATCCCTTCTTTGTTTTAATATTCTACGTACTTTCCGTGATACCAATGATGCTGGCGAAACGCTTGTCACCCGGTTCTGAAACCAGCCCAAAAACCGAGTTCGCGTTGTTCCTAACCTCGGGAATGGTTCATAGTTTCAATTGTGGAAATCAAATAAGAAGATGACTTAAAGAACACTGCAATTCCTCTAGGAACTGCTGATGAAAAAAAAAGGGAATACAAAGCCGCAAAATATTGAGAATGTTGAGCTACCACGCCCATAGCAGCCCCGTTGGGTCCGCGGAATACAATTGGGACATTGATCTGCCCCCCCGACATGTAGAATGTTTTAGCCGCTGAATTTATAACCTTGCATCAAATTGTTTAAAGATATAAAAATCGTAAAGTATTTAGAGATCTCAATTACAACCGTGCAATAATATATTTTATTTTTTTTCAGACGAAGGAACATATTGTGGAAAAGTATGGCGGTGAAGAACATTGAAGAACATTTGCAAGCACCACCTAAATCGCTAAATCGCTACTGTTGGCCCAAACCGAAGATTATATGGAATATTCGTGTAGCGGCAAAGGAATGGAAAAACCAAAAGCTCGTAGTATATAAGGATATTATCTTACTAATATATAAACTGGGATTATTTGGGAAAAATGAAAATCTCATATTAATCTATTGTTAATTATTTTGAAAAATTGAAAAATTTGATGTTAATTCTTTCCATATATTCATACAAGTGCTTGAAATATAATATACATACAAATTCCAGCTTTATTTCTTTGGCTCTAAGATTAGCAATTAAATTTGGCAATTATTATTCTAGCTTTATGGCACCAGTCATATGCAAATATATCATTTTGAAACTCCGCCATATAATTGCTCGGTGGTAGTCGAATTTTACTATATATTTTTCATTTAATGTTTTTCCTTT